GCCAAGATGCGACTTTCTACAGGTGAGCATAGAGAAGACGGGGGTAGAGGTGATGAAGATACCCAACCAACAACACCACCAACAACAACAGAAAGCTCCAATCACCATCAATGGGAGAACTTAAAAGAAGTAGTCTCCTTCACCTAACTAGGCAGCACTGTTTCAACTGCAGTTGGCAGCACAGATGAGGACGTCAATGCCAACCAGGATCGGAAAGGAAAGACAGGCGTTCATTAACCTGAAACCACTGTGGAGATCTGCACTCAGCATAAAGAACAATTTACGGATTTTCAGCACCAGCGTCAAGTCAGTGTTCATATATGGTTCAGAGACTTGGCGCGTTACGAAAGGCATTTTCACCGAACTACAGACATTCATCAACAACTACCTACGCTGCCTCATTACTGAAGCTCATATGGCCAGGAAGAATAGGCAATATAGAACTCTGGCTGGCGCTGAATCAACCAAGAACCTATCGCCCAACAAATATGCAGAGGAAGGAAGTGGAGATGGATTGGGCATACACTGAGAAGACCGACTGTGGACATCACGCGCCAGGCCAGGCACTAGAGTGAACCCAGATGGGAAGCGATGAGTTGGGCGTCCGAGGTGAGGGTGACGTAGAGGAGATTGTGTGAGGAAGACACGAGAGCTTGTGGGCAGTGGTGGAGCCAGGTTCAAGAGATTTCAGAGAACAGATTTCACTGGAGACGTGCTATTGAAGCCCTAATCTCCTCTGGGAAGCTTAGGGACACATAAAATTAATAAGTAAATGTAGAAAATTAAACTAGTCATTCTTCCATTCCCATGAAACGGGGCCTATCGTTCTCGAGAAATATCCTGACGATTCACACTCATGCTTAATTCAGTATTTTAATTTACCATTCTGTGTTTATTTTGTGTTCTTAAAAATATCTGAGGCGCTCATCATGTTATATAGTACATAGCGGACTTCCAGAACAACAACACGGTTGAAAATTCATCTCTACTTTCGATGAGATTAGGTGAAATCGTGTTTTTACTTGTAAAACCTACTTGACGATGCATTGGTTTTGAATACTAGGCACATTTTCGACATATGTCAGTAAAGGCAACCATGACTATCAGAAAGAAGGACAAGAGTTTCTAAGCCTTATGCAGAACGCTGCCCAAAACGAACCATAGTGAATCGAAAACATACACAAAGTGATAGTCTGGTGTCCCCTGGATGCAACCACTTATTTCTAAAAAATACTCACACACCACCGGTCCTCGTTATACGGATCCTTAGTGCTCATAATGACTTGAAAGTTGAAATCTGACCCCTATATTTATCCATTCCGTTGACAAAACTTAGTTTTCAAAGTAGTTTCCTCTTTTTATCAGATTTTAGTTTTATCTTAATGCTTACTATGAATCATTGCGTTTAGCTATTAATTTATCTTCTTTGCTACGCTATATAATTAGTCACTTTTTCTACAATTTAAAAAATACCTCCCTAGGTAATTTAAAATTCCCTACAAAATGTTACAAACAATTCTTTTCTATTTTTTTCATAGACATTTCATTTATTAACGTTAAAGTTCTTAGTGAGAACCAATAGTGTCTTAAAATACATTAAAGGCTTTTACTGAATTCCTGACTAGAGTCAGTGTGACAGCCAAAACTGGTGACTGGAGCCTCTCGAAATCGATCACAGTCACACAGATAAGTCTATACACGATCTCTATTTTAATCATCTCACCGAATTTGGTCATTATTTTACCCTTCTTCCTCTCTTTCTCTCACTTTCTACTACTTTTGATTACTTTTTTTCCCCTACCTCCCGTTTTAGTGATGTTCACCTTGATTTGCTGATATAAGGTACTATAACACACCAATGTTAGGTCCCACGTTGATACTCACTGGTTGGCTAAGTTGATGAGAATGCGGAACATAATGAATTCGTCTTATCCTGAAAATGTTGAAATTCTTGTTGGATGGAACCTATTGAAAACATGCAAAGACATACAGTAGCGCAGACACTCTAGTTAATAACCAAACATATATTAAGAAAAACTGTTTCACTCTAGTACGTGACATTTCAGCAGTTCGCATCCACGAAGATATCCATACTAAGGTGAAACAGCTGTCTAGCGTCCCTGGGTTTTGCAGTGGGTCTTCAACTTATTTCAGCTTATGACAGATACTAACGTGAAACAAATAAATCCCCCAAAATCTTAAACCAAAGATCAAGTAAACGTCAGAAGTGATGGTATATGTGATCACCAACAGATCTTCAACAGTTAGGGAAGTAGGTCGTATTCAGTCTTATCCTCAAGTGTACCACTAATAATGACATACCTACGCAAACCAGTCATTAGTACGAATTATTTATAAATTTCTATTGGGAATAATCATAAGTAGACTGATATTTACTATTTCATCATTTGGCTAGTGATGCAATAATCATATGCATAGTATCCACCAATAACTAATTAAAGTGTCGTATTTTTGCCTCATGGTGAGGTATACTATTAGTTATTTAAGATATTTCCAATACATCCTTCTTGAAAATCTTGTGACTATTGAATTTCATTCCTAGGAATGAAATATGTGAGTGGAAATAAAATTTATTTATATTACCTGATTCGTTTGCATCTGAATATTTTTAGAATGTGTTAGATGCTAAAAGTCAGGCAGCCGGAAACCATGAATTTAGATTTCTTGCTTGTTGGATTTCATCAGTAAAATATATCTTCGGTCTTCTGGAAACCAGTGTTTTTAATAACTATCACCAAAATACACTGCAATTCAATTGCGCATTAGTCATTCTGCTGCAAGTATTGCAAAGTGCTCAGTGTTTGGGACAAGACAACTGCTTTAGTTAACTATTTGGAACGTATCAGTAGCTACATTTTACATAATTAAATGATTATTTGTGACACTGTCATCAGTTACCAATCAGTATGTCTAATCCAGTCTTACAGAAGGCGAATTGCGATCCGAAGAGGTCAGTGGTAAATTCTAAACTGCAGCACTACGTGACACGATTTTGGGTCCCAATAAGGATATAAGTTCTCTCGAAGCTGTAGACAAACCTTGTTGATGAGTACCAATCAGCAAAAAACCCAAATCAGGTGGGGTTTCTTGCAAGTCGCTTTCAACTAATTAACATCTACCAAAGTGCACCACTGTGCTGAGCCTCTTAGCTTGGCTGTCACATTGGAAAATGATCGATAGAATTCTATCTGAACTCAAGACTAGACAACATGAAGTTGGCTGCCCTCCAATGACCAATCAGTGTTATGATACTGTTCTGTTAGAATCCCTGTATGGAGGTAGATGGCACCTTGATTCCATATGGTTTACTTACAGCTAGTATGAATACACTGGTTGAAACAGCAAAATGTATACGAATAGGGTATTAATAACGCTTTAGAGATTACTACGTCAGTGCACTCTCAGTTTAACATACCAATAAATATGTATAACGATAAAGTTTATAGAAGTTAATATTTCAACTCCAGCAGCTACTTAGGGTTTCTTTTAACCTCAACCATTATGTTATATCTTTGCCGTTAATGAAGGAAGATTTCTCTTGAGAAAGATTGCCTTTCACTTGATTCATACTCCATAATATATTGTTATCTTCTCACTGAAACTGAACACCACTTGTTTCAGCAAATGAGGGGCTAAAACACTTGAGATGGACGCGAACGTGCTTCGAATTCCAGCTGCTTATTGGATTAACTAGTGTTTAGGTAGTGGATGAATAATTCATTTTTCTGTCTGTCTGTATTATTATTTACTGTTCTAAAATTAATTATACAAGACATTTTAACTGTTATTGGAACTCTTGTCTCTCAGGCATTCATTGTTTAACCTAAAGGTTAGTCAGCACATCAGCTTTTAATAAATGATTAAATTTTTTATTAAGGATTACTTCTTGAAATTTGAATTTCGCTTCACAAAAGGTGTAAGAAAAAAACTCTGAGACTTTGTATTAAATTAATTGACTCGGTTATACTTGGCAAAGTCATCTTTTTAACTTTACCTTTCAGCTGGTTAAGTCTGAAATATGGTCAGAAAGTAAGAGGATTTCAAGCTGAAATGCAATGTGATTTGTACTAGATAGCTAAGAATTTAAAATAAATTTTACTTCTTCTAATACTCTTCGAAAATCAGTCAGTTTGGCTTTGAAAAAAATGATCACCTTATAATCTTTATCCTGGATTTAATCCCATGCCGTCGAATAATGACAATCTACTGAATGAAATATATTAGCTGTTCGGTATAAAAGTAAGCAAGAAACCGTGCTTGACCTAAGTTTCATGCTTTTTGAGACTCGTCAGCAAGGTGTATCTAAAACCTCAAGGGAATTATTATCCCCTCTGAAATTTGAACTCACTTCTAGACGACCGAATCATATCCAACGTTGGTAACTAGGGAGCAATCCATTCATTCTGTTTATTCGTGAGTGCTGACCGAATTATATCAACCATTTTACAACAGGGCCACTAAGGCAGGGTGGTGAAAATCTCAAAGGGGACCTTAGTTTTCTCGAGATTGCAGCTATGCTTTGCTGATGAATGTCAACAGGCACGAAAACTAGGTCCACGGTGATTTGCTGGTTACCTCTAACTTGCTGACATCCATCAAACTTCATCCCGATAGTGTGCTTCCAATCTAATTGGTCACGCTGCAAAATGATCATCAGGATTCGGTCAACACTCAGCACTAGACAAAATGAAATTTGTTGCTCTTCAGTGACCATGTAATGTAATACAAAGGCTTCTTCTAGTCTATTTCACCTTTACAAATCAATATTGAAAGGTGATAAATTTTATGCCAAAGTTATGATTGTCTATTATGTTATTTTACTGCATTGTGAATGTTTTAAAGGAATAGATTTTTGAAAGGAAAGTTTTATAGTCTGATCACACTGAAAATCTGTTAACTACTTTTACACGCCTTCAGCTTAAGTCACAAAGTTCCTCCGCCATAGTGTAAGGAAATCATTATGTACGGGGTAAACTTACGTGTTTTACATGTGATCCCATAACTTTCTTGAATTGAAACATAACCAGATTTACAGAAGCATTCGTTTTTCTCCAGCGAACACATACTGTTGGCAACACGTCGCGTACAATAAGCATCACCTTCTGGAAGACATGGTCCTGGAGAAACAACATGAAATTCATCAGCATAAATCCACTCAATGAAGTATAATAATGATAAATATTCCGCGAACAAAATCTTCATAATCCACAGATAAAAATTTTAACACATTTTTTCTAACTTGATCTCATAACATTCTTCGTCCAAAAACATATTAAAGAATTCGATTAGAATCATACAAAAAATTTTTATTCAATGGATTTTATATTTCTGCGAATAGTTTCATCAATAATATATGTATATTGCAATATTGTTCTGAGTGAGATAAATGTTTCTGAAATAATTTTAGTTTAACTTTTATTCGTGAACGTGTTACTTGATTAACCAATCTAAGGCACTTGTTTATGTGTCGTGACAGATTCAATGTTAAATTTCCTTTGTGAAAAAAGTTGTTTAATAAACCAATCACATTTTTACCACATCATAAAACATCAAATGCTAAGGAATAGTAATTATTTATAGTATATTTATTCATACTTGTAAAATAATGAGAAATTTAACTAGAATAAAAATAACTTTGCATCTTTCGTCATTTTTATTGATGACATAATTAGAATTGGTTGACTTCCTGTTCTTTATTCTGTAAGCTAAATAAATATATTCATTTATTGTGAATGCGCCAATGGCGTTATCAGTCAAACAATCAAAAATGATAGTGGTCGTAAATTTATTGGTCACAAGAGAGCGACCAATTTTATGTTATCCAGTCTTAAGTGCACTGAAAACAGACACAGAGACAACAGCGGACATACTGACACCACTATTGCAGAAGGTTTGAAAAGAAGGAGGGAAACGTACCTGACGACTGAAAGAAAAGCTACCTTGTCAAACTTACAAAGAAGGGCGGGCTGATTCGTTGCAAGAACCGGCGTCTAATCGTGCTGCTGTCAATCCAAAGCATAATATTAAGCCGCATCATCCTGGAGAGACTGAAAAATACTAGGCATTCTAAATTACGACCAAAACAGCGTCGATGGCTGACTGGGGGCAGCAAATTGCAACGCTTCGCATCACCATAGAACAGAGTATAGAATGGCAGTCAACTCAACTCAACCTCAACTTCATCGACTTTGAAAAGGCCTTTGACAGCGTCGACCGAGAAGTAATTTGTCCAGTGGCTGCTTCAATACTACGGTTTTATTGCCACAAACCTTTCTCAACCTCGTTCAACAGCTATATGAAGATGCTACAAGCAGAGTGATTGACAGTGGAAAGCTTAGTGATGCGTTTGAAGTGGAGACAAGGAAGAGGAGTAAGTTAAGGTTGCTGCCAACTACCACCGATGATCTTCGTGATTGTGGTGGATTGGATAATGCAAGAAACTGTGAGGAGCTGTGAGAAGAGGGGCATGCGCTGTCCGACCGATGAAAATACCCCAGAAGAAGATTTGGATTTCGCCAACGATGATGATTTATGTCCAACGACTTGTCGCACAAACTCGAAGATCTACAGGCAAAAAGCAACAGGTTGTCAGATGAGGCAGGGCAGCGAAGACGCGACTTTCTACAGGTGAACGTAGAGAAGACGGAGGTGATGAAGATATCTAACCAACAACATCATAAACAACAACAAACACCGACCACCGTCAATGGGCGAAACCTGGAGGGAGTAATCTCTTGCACCTACCTACCTATCTATCTATCTACCTACCTACCTACCTAACTACCTACCTAACTACCTAACTACCTACCTACACACCTACCTACACACCTACCTACCTACCTAGGCAGGCAGCATCGTTTCAACTACAGGCGGCACAGGCACAGGTGACGATGTCAAAGCCAGAATCGAAAAACAAGACAGTCCTTCCTCCATTAATCTGAAATCAGTGTGAATATCTACTGCACTGCAGTGCACTGCACTGTACTCAGCATAAAGCGTGAACAACACTCGGATTTTCAACACTTATTGAGTCAAGTATATATGATATTTCAGAGAGTTGGTATCTTACGGAAAGCATTTCCAACAAACTACAGACAATCATCAGCAGTTGCCGCCTGCGTTCACTCAATGCTGAAGATTGATTAGATAGCCAGAATAACAGGAATAAGCAACAATGAACTCTGGCTGGCTGGGTGGCTGAGTGGCTGAGTGGCTGGCTGGCTGGCTGGCTGGCTGGCAACAAACCAACAGAGAACCCATCATCCAACAAGTGTGCAGAAGAAGGTGGAGATGGATTGGTTTGGATTGGACATTGGACTTAAAATACCTTTCGGGCATCACACACCAGACCAGACACTTGAGTGGTACCCGAGTGGAAAGGATTAGTAGGGTGTCTTAGGTGAGGGTGACTTTGAGGAGATGGTGTGAAGAAGAAATGAAAGCTTGTGTGGAGTCGTGGAGATAGGTTAGAAAGAGTGCAGGGTAGAGATTGAAATGGATATATGCTACTGGATCCGTATGTTCCAGTGGGAACCTAAAGGATATATAATAAAAATAAATTCCAAACCAAATCTTATCAATCATTCTTGCAATGTGGCCATCAAGCTAGGTGGTTCAGTGTTACAGTGGACCTGTTGGTTGGAGGCAGTGGCGAGAATTCCTCCCCAAACTGGATTTCTTGCTTGTTGACACTCGTCTGCAATGCGCAGCTTTGTCGAAATTTATTACGAAACACATTAAAGTTTAATTTAAAAATATCTCATGGAATGCTTTTACGAAGCATAATTCCTTAAGCAGCTTTAATCCCCTCCAAAAACGGAAACAAACAATAATGCTGTAAGTGCTAAACGGCATTGGTGACTAGATTCGTGAGGTGATTTCTAAATTTCCAATGAGAAGTCGTAACCAGCGAGGCAAACATGTAGGAAATCAGAACAAATACTCAACGATGACATTGGCTGACCGCTGTGCTATATCGTGAACTGACAAAAGTTGGAAATATGGACTATTGGATTTCGATTCAACGGCTCAATGGTACCGTATCGGCTGTGGAACCTGATGGTCCTGGGTTCAGTCCCTGGAGGGGTAATGAGTGCGCACTGCAGAGGAGTCCTTTACTAGAACGAAACTGGTGTTCACTTCTCCCAAGTTTCCAATTTTTCTCTAACTGATGTCAGTCCACTATGAATGTCAACTTGAAATTTCCTGATTTTAGTTTATCAAATGAATAGCAGCGTTTTAATCAGTTAAAGTGATAAGGATCTAATGTATTTAAGAGTTAGTCTCTATAATTTAGTAGTTTAACTGATAACACTTTCTCACTTGAATGATAAATGTTTTATTTCCTTCCCTGAATATCAAACTAACGCAATGCTTTAAGATACCAAATTCCAAAAATGATAATATTTGTGATCTATATTTTTATTTTACTAGTCACAAAAGATATATGTATATATATTGAATTATCCTTTATCCCGGATGTGTATGTGAAAGTAGTGGTTAAAATGAACGTTTAATTTGATAATTTCACCCAGATATTAACTTAGGTGTCATAGTAGATACTTGTCATAGACTAAGTCAACGGTCTACCATCAAACCAAGCCTATAAGTCAACTCTAGTATGCTTCCGACAGCACAAGAATTAGTCTTGATGTATTTTTTTATGAAGATCAATTATGCATTTTTGAAATGTCAAAAGAGGTAACAGAAGCTTTTTAATTGCACTTTATCAAGTTCATTACAAATACTTTCTAGATGTCTCACGAATTTACTGACACATACTTACTGTTGAAATACCGACTAAATGCTCCTAGAAGACGTCGAAACTGAATTACTATTGATTTCTCATTTTTGATATGCTTCGGGATGATATTTCCTAAGTTTTAAAGAGAAGTTGTGACCTGTAAAGAAAACGATGTCCAACGTGTGGACAGATACTCAATGGTGGCATTGGATGATGATTGCACCTTATCGCTAGTCGACAGAAGTATGAAACTGTAGACCATTGGACTTCACCCTAGTGGCTTAATGCTTACATGCTCACCGCAAAACCTTAAGGTTCTTGGTTTGATTCTGAGGGGATAGTGGAAGTGTACGGCCAAGGAATCCCACACTGAGACGAAACAGCTGTTTAGTGTTCCCAACTTTTAAATGGCCCACCAACTGATGTCAGTCGGTGATGAGTGTCGGCTTGAAATTATTAAATTATCACAAACCTTCAAAATGAACTGCTTGAAATATATTAATGATGGAGAGTGGCTAGCAGTGGAATCCAAGATATGCTTTCCACCTTGTTAAAGATTCATCAGTTGGATTTACCTGTCTTTCAGTGTATGATGTTGTTCCTGGTAAGACTGGAACCCCAGACCAATCGTTTTAAATGCGAGAGCGTCACCCACTAGGTCAATGAGTCACGATAACCGCTCCTCGTACAAAGAGTCAATTATAGGTACAAAGAGTAGCTAACTAGACTCTTTGGTCAAATGAGTCACTCCCTGGAGTTTGAAGCAACTGGTCTTGGATTCGAGTCTTAGTGGGAACAATATCATCCACTAGGAGGCAGGCAAATCCAGTTAGTGACTCTTGCATATGACGAAACGCCTGTCCTGCCTGAGACATAGCTTGGAAATGTATCTTGGTATACTACTTAGAGCATTTTTGAAAACTAATATGGCTCTCTGAAAACGCCAAAAATAATCATCACGGTTTATAATACCACTCGTTTATAGCAGTTATACAGAGTGCAGTCAAAAATTAGGATTTAGAGTATACGCTGCACATTTTTGTATATATTCCAGATAACAATGTTAAATTGTTCCCATTTTGTAGCTGAAGTTTCTTATTACTAAACTAAAAGAATAAAATAGCAAGGGTTGAAACGAGGATAGTGAGTCATAGGAACTCATCTAAGAAGGTTTCGATCGATAGTGAAAATAGTTGTTATAGCTAATGAACCGGACATTCCATGAAAAATCGCAAAGATAGATCAATTTATACAGCAATAAATTCTAGTGTTCAACATGCCGTTGTTATTTATTCAATGAAGTGGAGCGGTTATACGTTTTTTAGATGTTTAACAGTGGATTAAAACAGATTGTAGTATTTAGTGACTTTGAAT